ACATTGACCTTTGGAATACTGTTGTAGTGTTTGATCATACAGTTCATTCTTTAGTGCTCTATGCACGTTAATTACCCAGATTAGCCTCAGATGTTAGACATTAATGTAAATTTCCAAATGCAGATAGTGTGCCAAATATAAAATATGCTATTGCAAAAAAAAATTAGTTAATGAAGCATTTAGCACAAGAACACTTTTGTACATTTAATACATTTATCTTGCAGAGTACAGTTTCAAAGTAATAGACTGTGTACACTTGACTAGGGACCATCCAATACTATATTCAGAATTTCTTTTTTTTTCTAAATATCTTATTTAATAAGATTTTTATTTCCTGTTTCCATATATATTCTTTTTGCTTAATTTTTGTTTGCAGATTTTGTCTTAAATATGGAGTTTTTCTGCTTAACATATTTATATCCCACCTTTATTATTTTTATAAATAACTCAAGGTGGCTAACCTACCTAATACTCCTTTCTCCTATTTTCCCCATAACAACAATCCTGTGATGAGGATTGGGCTGAGAAAAGAGTAACTAGTCTCGTCACCTAACTGGCTTTCATAACCGTCTCCCAGTTTTCTAACCTGATACCTTAACCACTAATTGCATAAGAGGTTTCCTTGGAGCAGGTAAAAACTATTTCTCCATTTGCCCTCTTTTAAGTTTTCTAATTGGCAGCAGCAATTCAAGTTCTTTGGCAGATACCACTATATCAGTGATATCATTGACTTTGTAGGCAAAAACTGAATATTGCTTCCTGTGTCTCAAGAGTGAAGGTTGAAAGACTAAGGCAAACATACCAAATTTAGGGCCTAAGCAACAGATAATGGTCTGATTATAAATTATCAAAAAACCAAAAATTATGATCTGTTCAGAGACCTGCTAATATAAATGTCCATGGCAAATTAATGGGAATGTTATAGAACAGGTTCAATCTTTATAGAACAGGTTCAGTCTTTATAGAACAGGTTCAGTCTTTAAATATTTCAGAACGGTTATCGACAGGCACTTCAAGGCCCGAATTCAGTTTTTAAAAGAGAAGGTAAAAGGGTGCAGCAGCTATCTTAAGGCTTTTCTTTATGAAAGAGGTAGTCATATACTAGGCTGGCTAAATGTGTTTGAGATCAAAGCAATAATACAGCTATTTTACAGGTTTCAAATTTGTGCCTAGAACATAGAGCTATTCAATCAGCTACTCTAAGAGACATATTTTGGGTTTCACGGTGCACTCCAAGCATAAGCCAAAAATGAAATGGGTCAAGTATGCGTTGGTTATTGGCTTAAGTTAATTCTCGACCCAAGAGGTTTGGCTATTCTGGCTGTTAAAGTTAATTCCATTCTTCTTGGTGGAAATCATTTAAATTCTACCCCAAAGTACTGTGAACTTTCCCCTAATGCATTGCTTTTAATAATTTTTAAGAGGCCAATTAAATATTTAAGCAACATGCCAAAAAAAATTCCAGAATGATTTCATCCAGATTCACCTTATTTCGTACCAATGAATCCATAAAAAGTATTGCATCTGCCTATTACAGTATTTGTTTAATATTATGTCCCAGAATGTCAAAAGAGGTTTTATATTGGTCTCTGAAATACTCTCCATCTTTCTTTTTAATAAATATAATATATTGAATATATATATATATATATATCATCAAGTTACAAAAACTTCCTTCAAAAGGAAGGATACACACACACACACACACGTGTTTTGTGTGTGCGTGTGTGTAATTTCCCAATTATCACACAATATTTAGACAAGATTTAAGATGACTGTCAACCTCTTATTAATTAATCGGGAAGCAAAGATGTCAATTAGAATAGCCAGATTCTGGCTATGACAGAAATAAACAACTGCTTTAGAAAGGGTAAATCCAAATATACTCTATATCATATTTAGTTGTATTGTTTTGATAAACTAATTACAGATTATGGACCTAAATCACCAGCTTATTTCCTCATGAAAATAAATATGGATTGGATATTTGGTAAATGTGGGATATTGTAATACTGTGTTAGGTTTGCATTACAGGTAGCAACCTTAGCTATAATGCAGCTAAATAAGAGAGTCAGGTCTGGTTAGTACTTGGATGGGGATTACTGTACAATTCTAGGAAGATTACTAGATTGAAAAGCTGGAAATACAATTTGGCATGAAGGCAAAGGCATTCCACTTTCAGTGATACTTAAAAAGGCCCCTGGACACAGGGCAAGGGAACTTTGTTCCTTTATATATTGTAATCTTCTCTATAGTCTCAGTTCATTTTATAATACTAAATCTGCTTGCAGCAGGGACAATGTCAGATATTCCTGATATGATCCATTGATGCCTCCACATCTGCAGTTCAATTCAGTCATTTCAGACTGAGTAATGTGGAAATTGGAGTTGGTTTGGATGCACATTTCACTTCTGATATTGACCCAAAAAATAATGGAAAACTGAAAAACTATTAATTAAGTGTGTACAGTAAAAAAAGCACATCATTATTATATGGAAATGTGTTACTGAAAATAAAATAGTTCCAGTATTTTGATAGAAAGTATGTGCCTTGAATTTTCAAATCCCCAAAACTAATGGGTTTTGCTACATATATCTAACAATTTATTATAGCAGCCAGGACCAATTTGTTTCCAACAATATTGCAGATTAAAAAATCCACCACTTATTATGTAGCCATTCATGATTCTCACTGAGTTATATAGAGGCATACAGTTCAGCTGCAATTAGTACTTTTGCTAGATACAAATAATTTTTACAATGAATTCATATGAGAGATAAGGCAATTTCAATAATTTCATTTCAGTATTTACAAAACAAAGTCCAGAACAGTAATATTTTTGGTAAACAGCTGATCAAAAAGACATTGATTAGCTTTAATTAAAATAAAGTGTTATAGAATTTGAGAAGAAACATACCTTTATGGCATAAATGAATATAAATTTACCAACTTTTTTCTACAAAAATCAATTATATGTAACACAATGGCAAAACTCTACTTGTATGTCTGCTATTGTTTCATACAATAATGAAGTAGGTGTATATGTATGAGACACAAAATATGCCTATAGAATCTTAATAAATATGTAAGCTAACACATTGATTTTGTGATACCTGTCCTATGACTGAATATTTTCTAGCTGCCATTTAAGTTCTTGATTTACTGATTAAAATGGCAACAGATCCAAATTTAGTTTAAATGGGAGACAATTGTTTTATTATTTTTTCGTATAATGCTAGTGATGTGTTGCTGATACAATAGGATTTTTTTAAAAAAGCATTAGGAAGTTCTAAACTGATACTGAAGCATGCTAAGAAAAATCCTATACAGGTAGTCCATGAGTTATGAATATAATGGAGCCTGCCCATTCCATTTGTAACTTGAAAACTTGTAAAGTGAATCTCATACTTCGAATGAGATCACTCCCTTGCTCGTTAAGATGCATGCGGCTCGTTAAATGCACATGAGGAATCTCAAAGTGGGAAGGCCATTGGGGGGGCTAGTGATGGAATAGGTCCCCAAGACCTCCCTGACCCACTAAAATACCTCATGCTTCCCCCTCCCTTCCTGCTGTGCTGGACTCACTTATCTTGAAAAGATCCATCTCCTCTCTGCCGCGGTTTCTGCCTTTGAGGGAGAGGAAAGTCGATGGAAGCTCTTGGGTGCCTGTAATATCACACAGGTTCAGGTACCGATTCTCATTTGCAGAGAATGGGAGCCTGAACTCTCATGGTTTTTGCTCCCATCCCCAACTTCTTTCCGTCACTGCCAGAACAATTTTCACCAGAACTTGGAGAAACTGGAAGCTCTGTCTGCACACTTAGAAACAGAGCACTTCACTTTGTGGTTCCGTTTTCGCCGGAAAAAGCCATTTCTCAAGTTTCTTCCTGATGAAAACAAGCCTCCAGAGCCAGCGTGCCTCACTCTTATTGAGAGCAATCCTGTGAAAACAAGCCTCCAGAGCAAGCATGCCTTGCTCTTTGGCTAAGCTTTCACAGGAAAAAGCCATTTCTCAAACCCTTCCTAGCGAAAACAAGCCTCCGGAGTGAGCGCGCCTCACTCCAGAGGCTTGTTTTCGCAAGATTGCTCTCAAGAAGAGTGAGGCGTGCTCGCTCTGGAGGTTTGTTTCCAGTAGGAAGGGGCTTGAGAAATGGCTTTTTCCTGCAAAAATTTAGCCAAAGAGCTTGTAATCTCTGCCAGATTAAAAAGTCTTTTAGCTCCTATAAAGTGCTTCCAAACACAGCCATTCCCTGCATTTGGAAGCGCCCCATAGGTACTAAAACATCAGATCTCCACCAGATCTGGCAGAGACTGCAAGCTCCGTATGCCTGGAATGGGGCGCTTGAGAAACGGAGTGCTCCTTTCCATGCAGTCATACTGGGTGCTTCAAAATGCAGGGAATCCCTGTATTTTGAATAGCCTCACCAGAGCACAAACACTCCACAATCCACCAGGCCAAACCCTAACCCCCACCATACCTCAGGGCATCCACAATGCCAAATCCTAACCTCCACCCCAGGGCGACCACATTCCTTCACTAATCTCCTTTCCAGCTCCATTCCCCGTGTGCAGCGCAACAAAAGAAGTTTGTGGGACTAAAAAAAAAAAAAAAAGATCAGTCTGATCTTCCAACTTCTCGCAAAAAAAAAAGATCTCGCAAAGTTGGAAGATCTAGTTCAGCGGTTCTCAACCTGTGGGTCGCGACCCCATTTGGGGTCGAACGACCATTTCACGGGGGTCGTCAAAGTCCTGGAGTTTTTCCTCATAGAATCCTTATGAAACGCAGTCCGGCATTTTTTTTTTTTTTTTTTTTTTTGCTCTCTATTCAAGAGAGTCTATTCTATTGGCGTTCAAAAGCCAATAGATTCTATTGGCTTTTGAACGCCAATAGAATAGACTCTCTTGAATAGAGTATAATTCTATTGGCTTTCAAAAGCCAATAGGAATTGTCCAGGCTGTCTCTGCCCTGCTGAGCCCGCCAAAAGTCCCAGTTGGCAAACATTGCTGCATGTTGTCTGCAGCTAAGGCGAGCTTTCTGGAAGTTTCCACCCCTCCCTGCTGAGCAACTACTAAATGTAAATAAAAGAGGGCCAGGGATGGGAGGGCCGCCCAGGAGCGCCTGGGTCTGCCTGCCGCCGCAGCAAACAGGCAGTGGCCAAGGTAAGGCTAGCGGGGCATCGGCGGGTCCAGGGAGGGTAGCTGGCGCGCGTGGGGCCTGGCAGGTGACTTATCTTCCTTGGTCTGGGCCACCTTGTGGCCCAACTGGTGGTCGGCCTGTGCCATCACTGCTGCTTGCTATGGCCGTCCAAGAGCGCCTGGGCCTGTCTGCCGCTGCAGCGAACGGGCGGTGGCCAAGGTAAGGCTAGCGGGGCAGCGGCGGGCGCAGGAAGGGTAGCTGGCGCGTGTGGGGCCCAGCGGGTGGCTTACTTCCCTTGGGCTGGGCCAGCTGGTGGCCCAGCTGGTGGTCGGCCTGTGCTTTTGCTGCCACTTGCCATGGCCTCCCAGGAGCGCCTGGGCCTGCCTGCCACCGCAGCGAACAGGTGGTGGCCAAGGTAAGGCTAACGGGGCAGCGGTGGGCGCTGGGAGGGTAGCTGGCCTGTGTGGGGCCGACTCTCAGCTGGCTGTCAGGAGCCGGGCGGTGTGTAGCGGCCCCGCCAGTTCCCCACTGACGTCTGGATGCTTGAAACGCGCCCCCGGGCCAGCTCAGCTGCGTGGCTGGCCGGTCCAAGCTGAGCCCTCCGCATGATGAAATTGCAGGCGGCGGCGCCTTGCCAGCTATTCCTCGGCCGGCGCAGGGGGCAGCACCATGCAAGCGCGGTGCTCCTGGGCTGAGGCGGTTGCTGGGTGACGGCTCGCATGCGCCCTTGGCCGGCCCGGCGTGTACTCCAGCCGCAGGAGAGGAGGCGGAGCTTGCGCACCTCCTGCCCCCGCCCGTAGGGAAATACAGGTAGTCCTCGACTTACGACCACATGGTTGGGGGTCGCGGCATTAGGAAGGTTGAGAACCACTGGTCTAGTTGAACTTTTTTTGTTAACCCGTAGTCCCACATGCTTCTTTTGTTGCCCTGCAGCAGTGGCGGAGAACAGAGCTAGAAAGGTAGTTAGTGAAGGGAGGCTTTGGGGAAGGGTCTGATCTGGGAAGGGTCTGATCTGGCGCCGCTGCCTCTCTCCACCAGCATCAAGGCTCAGAGGCTTGTTTTTGCCAGGAAAAAGCCATTTCTCAAACCCCTTCCTGGTGAAAACAGCCAAAGCGCAGCTCGCTCTTATTGAGAGCAATCCTGCGAAAACATGGAACGAGTTGGCCTTATTGAGAGCAATCCTGTTCTGCGCCTCCATTTCCTTTCACTGAGAAGGAGCAGACAAACTCAAGCGTGCCGCTCAAATACCTTTCATTTGACTGGAGACCTGAATCACATGGAGTTTCAAGCAGTCACACAGAGCATTCCTTTCCATTTCTGAAGTGCCCCACTGCAGGCACACAGACTTTCCAATCTATCTCAGGTCTACATTTGGATAAAAAGTGAGCAGCAACAGCTTGAGTTTTTCAGCTCCGTTCCAAAGGAAGAAACCGGAGATGCAGAGCAGGATTGCTCTCAAGATGTAGGTGCGCTGGCCTTATTGAGAGCAATCCTGCTCTGCACCTCCATTTCCTTTCACTTGGAGCAGAGAAACTCAAGCTGCTGCTGCTCATTGAGTGAGGATGATGGTGATGATAAGAGTGATGAGGATTTGTGCCAACCGGCTGGCCGGGCAAGAACTAGGTCAGATGAGGCAGGTGGCTGACTGGGGAGGGGATCATGGCCACTCAGGTGGTTGCCGCTGCTGCCAGCTTGGAGGTGGGTGCAAGGGACCTGGCCCCGTGATGCCTCCCCACTCAGTTGAAGGCTTCGTTCCTGTCCTCAAGCAAAGGCTGTCGCACGTGAGTGAGCACCGCACCCAGGCCACAGACAGCATTGGTTCCTGCGCCTGACCAACTCCGATTCCACGCTTTGCCCCATAGGCATGCAAATGAAGCAAACACTCCCCTCCCCAGAGAATTGAAGCTTCTGGGGGCCATGATCTCTTTTGCAGAGAATTTGTGTTTGAAGTCGCGCGATATTACAGCACCCAGGAGCTTCCATTGTTGGCGCAAAAAGCATTTCCAAGCCAACTCTCCCTCAAAGGGAAAGAAACCGCAGCAGAGAAGAGACAGATTTTGCAAGGTAAGTGAGTCCAGCACAGTAGGGAGGGAGGGAGAAGCAGTTGTGGGGAGTAGGGAGAGGAATAGGGTGAATATTGCAGAACCTCTGCGGCGGGTCACTCAAGGGCGAACAACTGCTGTGGTGCTGCAGTAGTCGTAATTTTGGGATTTGCTAGTAAGTACTAGGGGGCGCTGATCACATAATTTCAAACAAGCGTTAAGTGAATGCTCATAACTTGGGATTACCTGTATATTTACTTCAAATATCCACTTTATAATGTTGACAATGGAGACTGAAATATGGTCATTTCATACTCTTATCTGAAAGAGATTAGATAAGTGCTGTCATATACAATCTACTTATCCTCAATGTCAACATATTTATGTTCTACAATACTTTTGTTTTTAATGAGATAGCTACAAAGGCAAACACAAACGTATATAGTATAATCTTCAAGATTTCACATGCTTTACATATATAGGAGACATCAATCCAAAGCTAAAATACACCAATCCTAGTATGTTGTCCTTGTTTTGAACTTTTCTATAATTACAAACGTATCATCTAACTACAGACTGTTGTAATCTATTCCAAAAGCTATATTACTGCTGAAATCTATGAACTTCTCTAAATTAAATGCTAATGTGAGCTGGGAGAATGACAGGATTAAAATCATATGGACAGAGGATTGATTTGCACCCAAAACTAATTATGATTTGCACCCTAGTATTCATTACTGCAACCATAAACATGCCTTAGACGTGTCGCACAATAGCCCACTAAAATGGTCAACATGTTAGATAATACTGTACCAATGTGTTTTTATACATTTTTATGTGTTTTTATGAATTTCTCAATAGCATAATTCTAGCTCTATTAGTGTGAATGCAATGTCTACCTGATTTCGTAGTTGAACATAATGACATCAGTTTTAAGAAAGTTACGGCATCAAAACAAAGATTCAACAGTGTATAGTCCTATAAATATGTTTCTCATCTCTACATTTCTAAGACTCCAGTGGGTCCATTTTTATACAGATTTAGTGACAGAATATACAGTAACTAACTCCATAAATGAATGCACAGAAGAAATAGTAACATATTTAGATCTGTTTTTACATTTTCACTACTTGTCAAAACAATTAATACATCATTCACAGTCTGAAAAATCTGTGGCCCCTATCAGTCCACATTATATTTATTATTAAGCTCCAAATAAATATAATTTTAAAACAGATGAAGAATTTGTTTTCTAAGTTCATTAACAGAGCTAAAACTAAAATCATGTAACTTAATGGCTTACTGTAGCTTGGGAAAAAAAAATATTCTGCAAAGAAATCAAAAGGGTAGAAGAAACATTGCTTCTGCCAATGGAAAATATAATGCAACACAAATGGCAGCATAAGAAAAGGGGAACAAGAAAGTTCATTCCTAATATGCTACAATATCACAAACACATCCCTCTCACCACTGTTCCCCTCCCCCCCCACATACAATAATGTAGATCTTTTAAGGCAGAAGAGAGGCATTCTGTGGATCTTGGTGCTGGATGGTTCCTCACACGCTTGTGGTTTCAGTAGGAGAAGATGAGGTACTTTTTTTCCTGAAACGAGGTCTAAGGCTCCTAGGCGGTGCCTGCCAAAAGCATAACACAAAAATTGATTCTTCTATGTATACAATTTGAACAAAACAACTTAATGTAAGTATTTAGCAAGTATGAATAATCAACTCTAAAATGAATCCTAAAGCAACCTTGATTTTCAGGAAAATAGGCTGAACAAAAGTTACTCTTGGTACAAACATAATGCATTGTTCTGATATGATGCAAAGCACCCTATAAGATCTATAAATCGTTCCAGACAACTTATTCTAATCAACATGGGTATTAGAAGTTGCAGTCCTATGTGGTTGGAGAAAGCTGGTTTAAAATATTATGTTCAACATAATGTTGCATTGTTTTAATTTACTGTGTTTTAGCTGTGTATTTGTTGGTATGTATTTTTATCCTGCCTTTTCTTCAGGAGTTCAGTGACTTACATTCATTTTTATTCCCATTTAAAGGTTTTCTAATCCTTTGTTTCCACATAGCAAGCTCAAAATAGTTTGAGTTGAGGGAAGATGACTAGCCCAAACTTACTCCATTAGTTCCCATGGCTGATTTGAACCTGTGTTTCCCCAAATTATTTTAGTGCCTTTTCCACTATTCCACAATATTCCCATTGCAGAGCTAATTTAGATTTTCAGTGATAGCTTGAAACAGTTTATTTATTTATTTATTTATGAGACTTATATACTGCTTTAAGTGCAAGCACTCTCTAAGCGGTGTACACCAGTAAGCAATGTATATATATATATTTACATTGCCCCCAACAATCTGGGTCCTCATTTTACCTACCCCGGAAGGATGGAAGGCTGAGTCAACCTTGAGCCGGTGAGATTTGAACCGCTGACCTGCTGAACACAGTCAGCTAAAGTGGCCTGCAGTACTGCACTCTACCTGCTGCGCCACCTCGGCTTTGGGATGAAACACACAGAAACGCACAGTTCAAACTTATTTCATTGGAAATAATTCAGCATGGTTTAGTACCAAACTGGACTTTGCCTCTACCCAATGTTCTTTACAACATGAATCAACATTCTTCCATCTGCTCTGCTAGAGGATACAGTCAATTGTAAGTCACATAATGAATATGCCTGTTGCTATGGTTCTCGTATAGTCAAAACTGTGGAACGTATCTTTTAGATTTCCACAACTCCACTACAGAATCTTCTATCTCCATAACCATATTCTTCTGAAACTCAGAAGCCTGTTATGTTTCCCTCATTATGTCAAACTGATTACACCAAAGAGAAAAAAAAATAGCCATCACTGCTTTCTAATGTTTAACATATTTTATTCTAACACTGTACTCTGCAGCTTAAGGTATTGAAAAAGATTTGGTTGTCAGAGTTAAAAATATGGCATGTAAGAAAATAAGCTGATAAGTGTAGTACTTTTATAATGTCTGAATAGTAGCATTGCTCATTTTAATCTTAAACAGTATTAATAATTCTGATGATTCAGTGGGCTAGATTAAATATTAAGCAGCATGTTCTGGCTTAAAATGATGGTTTTCTAATCATACAGGTTTCATAAATAATATATACATATATATATACGTATTTTCTAATCCTTTCTCTTCCCTATTTAACTATGAGGACATGCTACTTTCATAACCAAAGACATTGTAGCTGTAGAGAGAATTGTTGCCACTATCCAAAACTAAGAAACAAAACACAGAAGTCTTACAAAAAGAATATGTTATTACAAGTAAGTGTGACTTTAAAGCCTCTTTCCAATATGGAAGTACCTCAATGATTGGGTCCTTTGAGGGGGAACTTTTAGGCTTGGATGTGCTATCCAATGAGCCATTCTCTTCATCCTCTGACAACACAATGTCAGTTGGTTTAGAGTTTGCTTCAAGTGGCTTTTCATTCTTTGCCTCATCATCTAGTTGAACCACTTATAGCATCCATTTAACATCTAAATAATGAAGAGAAACAGGATATGGAAGGTCATAGAAGGTGGTCAACAAATTGACTTTCAGCAGCCGTTGTCCAGGCCATGCTCTCTCCAGAGGTTAAAAATACAGTGAGGGAAAACATTATTTGATCCCCTGCTGATTTTGTATGTTTGCCCACTGACAAAGAAATGATCACTCTATAATTGTAATGGTAGGTTTATTTTAACAGTGAGAGGTAAAATAACAACAAAACCCCCCAGAAAAATGCATTTCAGAAAAGTTATAAATTGGTTTACATTTTAATGAGTGAAATAAGTATTTGACCCTTGCGATGAAGTTGCCCTGTCTCCTTAGCAGAACAACACCCCCAAAGCATAATGTTTCCACCTCCATGTTTGATGATGGGGATGGTGTTCTTGGGGTCATAGGCAGCATTCCTCCTCCTAACATGGCGAGTTGAGTTGACGCCAAAGAGCTCGATTTTGGTTTCATCTGACCACAACACTTTCACCCAGTTCTCCTCTGAATCATTCAGATGTTCATTGGCAAACTTCAGATGGGCCTGTATATGTGTTTTCTTTTTCACGGTGTAGTGTGTTACCAGTTGTTTTCTTGGTGATTATGGTCCCAGCTGCCTTGAGAGCATTGACAAGATCCTCCCGTGTAGTTCTGGGCTGATTCCTCACCATTCTCATGATAATTGAAACTCCACAAGGTAAGATCTTGCATGGAGCTTCAGACCAAGGGAGTTCGACAATTATTTTGTGTTTCTTCCATTTGCGAATAATCGCGCTAACTGTTGTCACCTTTTCACCAAGCTGCTTGGTGATAGTCTTGTAGCCCATTCCAGCCTTGTTTAGGTCTACAGTCTTGTCCCTGACATCCTTGGACAGCTCTTTGGTCTTGGCCATGGTGGAGAGTTTGAAATCTTTGGACACCTGTGGACAGGTGTCTTTTATTCAGGTAGCAAGCTGAGATTAGGAGCACTCCCTTTAAGAGAGTGATCCTAATGTCAGCTTGTTACCTGTATAAAAGACACTGGGAGCCAGAAATCTTGCTGATTGATAGGGGATCAAGCACTTATTTCACTCATTAAAATGCAAATCAATTTATAACTTTTTGAAATGTGTTTTCCTGGATTTTGTTGGTTGTTATTCTGTCTCTCACTGTTAAAATAAACCTACCATTAAAAACCTACCATCATTTCTTTGTCAGTGGGCAAGCGTACAAAATCAGCAGGGCATGAGATAATTGTTTTTCCTCACTGTAACATGAATAGAGTCAAATTAGATAATGTTATTTGTCAGTCATTTAAGCTGTCTGCTCTTTAGTTGTTAGTTGGTTTAGTTGTTAAAAGGATTTAGCTTTTCTAAGTTTCGTGTTGAACTCCAGCTTACATAATCTCAAGGAAAAATAGTTTACTTATTGAATGGCAGGAATGCCCAACTTTTTTTGCCAAGTTGACACACTTGAAAACTTAATCAAATATCATTAGGATAACTGCCACAATAAACATGGCCCATCATAAAATATCAATTTAATAGAAAGCAAGTTGATGAGAATGTTCCCTCCTGCCCTCTCTAGCACTCCAGGCTATTTTTTTTTTCTGGAGAAGTATGCACATTTAAAAACAAGAAGTGGGCTGCAACACTGAACCATTTCCAGACAACCTGTAGCAGCATTTAGGCTCCTTCCTTTCTTCCTTCCTTCCTTCCTTCCTTCCTTCCTTCCTTCCTTCCTTCCTTCCTTCCTTCCTTCCTTCCTTCCTTCCTTCCTTCCTTCCTTTTCCTCCCTCCCTCCCTCCCTCCCCTCCATCTCAACTATGTTTGTTGAAGCCACAAGACTGGAGAAAAGCCTGCAGACCAAAGTGACCACTATTCTTCCCTCACTATTTGTACACTTCTCCAGAAACACACTAGAACACATGTCATCTCTACTGATTAAAGCAATTATTTTGCTTTACTTGCAACATAAATATATGATAATGATAAAGCAAAGTTATAAAGAATTATGAACAACTTACAAAGTATTATAAAGAACATTGCTGTCTTTATAGCTATGCAAAGCCAAGCCCAATAAAAAGTCTCATATATTTTGTTATTTAGTTAAATTACAATACATCTAGGCAGATTTGGCACATCTCAATTAGTCCATAGTATATATTAAATTTTACCAATATTTTAATGCATGCCTTATAGAAACAGCATTGTAGATATCCTGATTGGGAAAAAAAAACAACTAAACAAGATGTGTTTCTATAGTCATTCTCTTGCTAATCAAACAAGACAACAAAGGTTCTTTATACCACAAGTTAAGAGTAAGCATTTCTTAGTTATATTGTGCATTCTTATGCATTCCTGCTTGGAAGTTATTCGTGCAATCAATAGCACTTACATCAGAGTCCCAAAATAGATATATAGAGAAGGAAAGAAAAACAATAAAAATAATGAACAAGAAAGCTTTTGTAGCCATATTCCTTAGCTTAGAAAGGTTTTTGAGCAATACATTAGTGTTTCAATAGTATTAAAATATTTAAACATTATTCAATTTATTAATTAAGATATAAAAAATATATAGTGTGATAATTATCCTAAATAACTTTATATAATTTTAAATAATATAAAATGCCAAATATTATGAAGCAAAAAAGCAAGTAGTCAATGCAAGAATCATAACGAGCATACAATGTCAGTTAAAAATAACTATAAATTGTAAAATCACCATAAGTATTCTGTTGATAATAAATACAAACACAGACACATAATTGAATTGTCCTTATCAGACAAGACAAGCAGATGCTGAAATGTTAAAGTAAAAGAAGGCTTGATATCAATAGGGTCATGTTTGTTTTCTTACATATAATGTTGTACAATAAAGTACCCAAATATAAAGGTATATAATACAGATGCAATACAAGCATAAAAGGGAATACATTTGTTCCAAATTAATATTCTTTTCCCTTTTCAGTTGATTACATAGGATGCTAACTTTAAAATTGGGATGAGGAATCTGTGGCCCTCCTAAAGTAGAATGAATAACTTGTGATGAGGGATACTAGAAACTATAATTCAACAATATTTTGAAGGCTGCAAATCCCCAATTTCCACCTCTTAACACCCCATATCTCATTTTTGGCCTTCAATCCCCCTATCTATTAGGATCTGTTGTCTGCATATGGGATTAAGAATAAAATTCTCACAAAGACTTATAACTCACTTCACTCCTTACAAAACCTGATCATCCCAAATTGAGCTGAATTTTTCCCAGGGGAGGTTAAAGAGCAAATGAAAAGCTTCTGGCATTCTGTATGTCCCTTACCATACTGGACTAAAATGATAGATCCTGCCCATTTTACTGGTGGCAAACATGGAGCACAAAGGCTTTTATTCCAAAGGAAAATAAATATATGGCACAAACTTAAAGTCATTCAAAGAAGCAAACCAAATAAAACAACGAGATGTAAGCAACTGGAATTTGAACCACATGCAGAGCAGACTACCCCATGAAAAGATCTAGCATAACCATTTTATATTAGGCATCATTTCAACTGAATTATACAACAAATTATATTTGTTGTAAAAATAGAATAAATGTATTATTTTCCAATATACATGTGTTACGTGATATATGTATACACACACACAGACACACAGACAGAGAACCAAGGTTTCATTTGTTAGAATTTGCTACAGCTCCACACATCGACTGGTGTTTTTCTCCATTGCATGTGGAGAAGGGATCAAATGATGAAGTACCAATATCAATATCAATGCCAATATTTTATGACCCTAGAGATTTCATCTTTTTCCTCACTGAGTAATTCTTCTAATCTTGAATGTCAGCTAAAAAATACCTGCTGCCTAACAATAACTTTGGATATTCAGTTTTGTTCAGCGATTAAAAGGGGATATTCTTTCTTCATCAGAGTTTCCAGGAACCAATGGCATTCAGATTTGATTATCTCATTTCGATCATATTCAGTTTGGGGCTGCCATCATGTCCCCTATTATTTTCAAATGGGAAAAGTAAAGAAGGAGTCAACTGATTAAAGTGGTAGCTCTCTGGAAATAAAAAAGAGGCTTTGAGCAAGGGATTCATACGATCTTATTTTGGTTCCACTGGCTGTCCTAATTTAGTCTTTTAGCTGGTCAATATTTCCCCATTCCTATCCAAAATCATATTTCCTTAATATGAGTTCTCCAATATGCTGTTTCAGCAATGGCACAGCTGGCTGAGATTGTATGAGCCGATAAGTGGGGTCACTTATTTCTTGCTTCGGGCAAAACTGCACTGATAGCAAACAATGAGTTCAAATTTATGGCTGCCACATTTATTTAACAACCACCACAAAAAAAAAATGTAAAACCGGGTTGATCGTATGACGGACCCATTTTACGAACATTGCAAGTTGTGACTATAATAGGCAGGCTCCCTTATGATCATAACTTAAGAACTGTCAGAGACAGCCTAGCAAGTCAGCTTGATTTAGGATTTCCTTGAAAACATCTAACATAGATTACATTTATTAACCAAAGTTACCCTTTCTTATTAAGTGAGAATCACATCAAAGCAAATCCTAAATTTCAATTTTAAATGTCTAAAGAATCTGTTATTCAAAACTTATATGCAAAAACAGCATTTCTCAGCCAGCATTGCAGACTGGTAGTGTAGCTCACAGATAGCTTTCTAAACCACACCAGCAACTATTTGAATTGTTAATATTAGGATACAACATTACAAATACTATAATTCAGATATAAATATAAGCTGCAAGAATTAATGCTTACATTAATTACATACAGATTGCATAAAAATAATTCACACTCACCTTGCACAATTTGACAAACTGAACAACATGTATATTCTGAAAAAAGAGCCACATATTTAAAAATGCTTTTTTTCATTTGTGGAATCCTTGGTGCTTTCTGAGCTTTGTTGTTTACTTACAGACATTTCATTCTCCAACTGTTATATCATCAGTGCAAGTATGAGTATGGGATTTTCTCCCTATTTATATACAGTAATTTGCCCTGTTAATTTTGGTGGGGGTATAGTTTTGCTCTTGGTAGTTTTTTGATTAGGGTATTGCTTTCTGCTTGATGTTGATTCCTGCTTATCCAGATAATGTCTGATGTTGATTCCTAAATGTCTGTGGAGATCCTGTCATCCAGGTATGGTTGTCCCAAAGGTGCTTTTTCACGAGGCAACTGGACTTTCTTGTTTTTTGTTTGAAGATGTTTCGCTTCTCATCCAAGAAGTTTCTTGGATGAGAAGGATTGGGGGGTGGGGGGGGGTGGAAGGATTGAAATATATTGCTTGCAGAGAGCTGATCATTTGCATTCTTTTAGAGAGTCGTTGGGGCCATTTGGAGGTTTACCTGTGTCCTCAGGGTCACCTGAAAAGTGCAAATATATGAGAGCCTTCTTGGTCCTTCACTGTTGAAGACAAGTGCAGGCTGTTGGGGATGACACAGGGTAGAAAATATCTGCAGCCAAGAAGGCTCCACACATTTGCACAGGTAAACCTCCAAATGGCCTCAACGACTCTCTAAAAGAATACAAATTTTCTAGTTAGAGCTGAAGAAGTTTCTTGGATGACAAGTGAAACATCTTCAAAGAAAAAACAAGAAAGTCCAGTTGCCTGTGAAAAAGCACCTTTGGGATGTTAATTCCTACTTATCCAGATATTGGCTACTGCAGAGGATGTGTTCTGGTCTTTTGTTTCTTTTTTAGCTTTTTATTGTCTCTTTTGGTTTGTAAATATGTGTAATGATATGTGGGAATGACCTTGAGAGACAGGGCAATGAGATACCAAGAGAACAGTTAGTTAACAGGCAATTTTGCATGCAGCGATGGGACAAGAGGCTCAGAAGAGATTTTCCCTAGTTTTTGAGACTGTAAAGGGGATAGAGGGAAAGTGCTTTCAGACTCACAAGATTCTGTTAATATAAGCTAATGTTTCCTACGAGGTCTCCCTAGTAAGGCTAACATCAATCTTGTAAGTCTCATAATGTCTTCCAAAGACAGGATTTTTTGAAATGGCCTCTGATCCCCAGGGGACTTCACTAACGACCAAGCACCTTGCAGCAACATTGTTGCAACATCAGCAGAAGGTAATGCATGGTGACCAATTTTCAAAATTTCATTATTTAACTCAGTAGCTGGGGTAGTAGTTACTTCAAGCTGCAACAGCACATGCAGAATGGTGAACCTTCCACTGAATACACCTAAGTAAACTTGCTAAAGGAAGCAGCAGCCAAATTCATTGTGAGGAATATTCTGGTGCTGGACAACCACTAAGGCTGGGCTTTTCAACCAGTGGTACGCATACCACCAGTGGTACTTTAGCACCTGGCTGGTGATACGCGAGCCCTAGCTAATTGTAATGGGGGAGGGAACCAATTAAAGTGGAGCCTCACAGACCTGGAGGAGATCAGCTGGAACTGCAGAGCTTGGCAGAATCCCCAGGATCTGCGCACGTGGCGACATGGCAAATGGAGCTTCCTGTGCACCCAGAAGAGAAGAGGAGGAGGGTGGAGAGAAGAGAAGGTATAAAAGGGGCAGACTGAGAAGAGAAGAGGCTTTTCTTACTGAAGCAGTGAGGAGAGACAGAGCAAGCGGCCTGTTTTTGGAGGAAGGGTGAGTGAGCAAGCGGCATGTTTTGGGGGGAAGGACGAGCAAACGAGCGGCGTGTTTATCAAGCACGTGTTTTCAGGCAAAGGTTGAGTTAGTGAGTGAGCTGGGCAGGAGCCCAGGAGAGCAGCTACAGCTGATCCATGCTTCTGCGGAGCCTCCCAAAAGCGTGGATCATCTGTAGCCCGGTGCTGATCCTGGCGCTTCTGCTAAATTAGCAAGCAGCATGTTTTCCTGTGAAGCTTGAGCAAGTAAGCTGGGCAGGAGCCCAGGATTGGAGTGCGCAGCGTCCCAGAAACTTTTAACCATTATTGCAGTGTCAAGCAGAATTCAACATCCCAATCTCAAAGTTTTTTGTTTTAAATGTGATTGATGAATATGTAGTTATTGTATATAGAGCCTGAAAGATGCTTCTGACCAAGAGACATATTCACTAGCAGTATTCTGCTACAGTGAAATCCAAAATAGATAAAAAAATAATATGACATTTCACTTTATTTATCTTTAATTAATATCCAGTATAGTTAATAATTATTCTCCATTTACATTTATTGAGGAGATAGGCCTCACAAATTAACTCTATCACTATATGGTAGTACATTCCATCCCATTTCATTAATTATAAAAACTGAACCAATAGTCATCTCTAACATTTGAATGTATTTAAATTTCATTGCTTTTTAGAATTATATACCAATGTTATCCAAGGAATATCCTACTTTACTTCAGAGCCACTCAATAATGGCAATGTTAGTGCTTCAATATCCTCTGAATTTTCTTGTGCACATTCATAATCATATCCAGGGAAAAAATGCAAGATAGATCTATCACCTTATGACCCCACAATCAAGTAAGTGTTAAATGCAGACACTTTCAATAGTGTCTAGTTTTCTTTTCTTTTCCTTTCCTTTTGTTTTTCTACTTGCTGAGCCAGCCTAAAGTTTGGAGATCTCCAAGTGGTTCCCCATCCAACCACTGACCAACACTGACCCTGATTAGCTTGCTAAAAAAAGCCAAGATGGGTTAATTGAAATGCCAAGTATTCAGATCAGTAATTTCAAAGAAACTTTCCTCCTCCTCCTCCTCCTCCTCCTCCTCCTCCTCCTCCTCCTCCTCCTCCTCCTCCTCCTCCTCCTCCTCCTCCTCCTCCTCCTCCTCCTCCTCCCTTGTTCCCTCCCCTATTTGTTTCTTCCTCCTCTTACTCTTTTTTCTCCTCTTACTCTTTCTCCTCCTCCTCCTCTTCTTTCTCCTTCTCCCCCCTCCCCTCCTGTTTCTCCTTTTTTTCTTCCTCCTCTTCCTCTTTTTTCTCCTCTCCTTCCTCTTTTTCTTCTTTTCCATCATCTCTTCCTTTTCCTCCTCCTCCTCCCTTCCTGCTCCACTCTGATCAGCTGTAAAACCACATTTCTGGAATTCGGGTTAGTTTGGGGGTAAATATTAAGGCAGCCACAGTTTATTTTCCAAATCTGGATGAAGGAAGTTTAGAAAGCTTCAAATGGGAAGGCTTTCTTGTTCCTAGATATCAGGCTGAGGAGGGATAGGAAAATCTTTTTTTGTTTGGATGTGGCTTTTGGTGGCCTTTTGTGGGGGGAAGAGTGGAGGGTTAATGGCAGAGAGGCAGGCACAAGTTTCCCATTAAAAGTGTGGTAAGTGGGTACACTTTTTCCTATGTTTTTTTGGGGGAGGTCATTAAGTTTTTGACATCTTGCTAGGCCACTGGTGGTACTCAAATATTGTCATGTCCTAAAGGTGGTACAGTCTGTGAAAAGGTTGAAAAGCCCTGTACTAGCCCAACTGCAAAAGGCACTCGTCTTTACAAAATTAAAATTTAGAAGTGTTTACAACCTAATCAGAATGAAAGAAGGACATGAATATTTGTACAGCACTCAGTACAAAATATAATAAGTTTGAATACATTAGTGATGCCTTTCAGGCTAGTTAATTGTGGAGCTGTTTTTTTCTAGATTCATGAATGAAATATTTTCAGATAATTTACACAAATACATTATGGCATATTTAGATGACACCTTGATTTATTCCCAAGATTCTTCCTTGCATGTCAATCATGTCAGAAATATATTGCAAAAACTATAGGAAAAACTCCTTGCCAAATTAAAAAAAAAGTACATTTGACTACCTCAATTAGACTATTTAGAATACTGCACAGAATTTTAGCTAAAGGGATACAGATTGATCCAGCAAAAGCATAGAAACACCCATAATGTGAAAGATATGCAAACCAAAGATATTTTTTGGTTTTTGCTAACTTCTACCAAAAATTCATCCCTAATTTTGTTGATCACCACTTTTTCAGTTGTTAAGAAAGAATCAGCATTCTCCGGGTCAACTTAAGAACAAAAAGCATTTTAAGAATTAAAAGTACTGTTTGCTTTTCAGATCCTTCTCTGCCATCCCAGCCCCTTTGTGATAGAGACAGATACTTCAAATGTCGTAGTAGAAGCAGTCCTGCTCTAAGTGGGAAAAGAAGGAGTGGAAGATCTATTGCCATGTACTTCAGCAGAAAATAACTATATTTTTTAATAAGGATTTGCTGGTGGTAAAAATTCCATTTCAGCAATGCAGACACTTGTTGGAAGAAAATGGTTATACAAATTCCCATAGATCAGAGGTAGGCAACCCAAAACACTCAAAGAGCCACTTGGACCCGTTTCCCACCGAAAACAAAACACCTTTTGATATCTAAAATGAAGATAACACTGCATATATCCTTTTTTATCTTGGGTTTTCTCCCGCGTAAAATTGGAAGTGTCTTGGCGACGTTTCGACGAAGTCCCATTCGTCATCTTCAGGCTGGTGTTTTCAGCTTCGTGCTTTGAGCAGCAATGTGTAGTCTTAGCTGTTTCTTCCTTTTAACTGCCAGTGGGGGTATGAACTGATTGGGTGGGAGCTTGGCTGTGTTCTGATTGGGTGGAGGTGTGTTCTGAATGGTTAGGGGCTTGGCTGTGCTCTGATTGGCTGGGGGAGTGTTCTGTTTGGTTGTGCTCAGGTTAGTCTGAGTTGCAGAGGGGTTTAAGATTTTGGGCTGCCTTGCTATTTTTTGGCTTCGTGTTCGTGGTCGTGCCTCCTCTTCATGGAGGGTGTCAGTTTGCTTCATGTATGGATTGGAGGGGTTTAAAGTGGCTAATGATGCAGCTGTGGTCTGGCTTCTGGTTTGTGGTCGTGCCTCATCATCGGTGTGGCTTTGGGTTTGCTTTTTGCGTGGATGTGTGGTGGT